TTCACCGTAGCTGCCTCGGACTTTACTCTGTTGACGACTACTCTCTCTGTTCTGTTAGTGAGGAAATTATAGATCCATCGACCGACTTTTCCTGTTATTCCTTTAGCACACATTTTGTGCGCTATTACGCCATGGTCACACTTGTCGAAGGCTTTTGCAAAGTCTGTATATATTTCATCTGCATTCTTTTTGTCTTCTAGTGCATTTAGGACCTTGTCGTAGTGATCCAATAGTTGAGACAGACAGGAGCGACCTGTTCTAAACCCATGTTGCCCTGGGTTGTGTAACTGATGGGTTTCTAGATGGGTGGTGATCTTGCTTCTTAGGACCCTTTCAAAGATTTTTATGATATGGGATGTTAGTGCTATTGGTCTGTAGTTCTTTGCTGTTGCTTTACTGCCCCCTTTGTGGAGTGGGGCTATGTCTGTTGTTTTTAGTAACTGTGGGACGACCCCCGTGTCCATGCTCCCTCTCCATAGGATGGAAAAGGCTCGTGATAGGGGCTTCTTGCAGTTCTTGATGAACACAGAGTTCCATGAGTCTGGCCCTGGGGCAGAGTGCATGGGCATGTCATTTATCGCCTGTTCGAAGTCATTTGGCATCAGGATAACATCGGATAGGCTTGTGTTAATCAAATTTTGTGGCTCTCTCATAAAAAATTCATTTTGATCTTCGACTCTCAGTCTGGTTAGCGACTTGCTAAAAACTGAGTCATACTGGGACTTGAGTAGCTCACTCATTTCCTTGCTGTCATCTGTGTAGGACCCATCTTGTTTAAGTAGGGGCCCAGTACTGGACGTTGTTCTCGATTTTGATTTGGCATAGGAGAAGAAATACTTTGGGTTTCTTTCGATTTCATTTATGGCTTTTAGTTCTTCCCGCGATTCCTGACTCCTAAAGGATTCTTTTAGCTTAAGTTCGATGCTTGCTATTTCTCTGACCAGTGTCTCCCTACGCATTTCAGATATATTGACCTCTTTTAGCTGCTCTGTTATTCTTTTCCATCGCCTGTAAAGGGAGCGCCTGCCTCTTTCTATTTTACATCTACTCCTCCTTTTTCTTAGAGGAATAAGCCTTGTGCAAAAAACGAGTGCCACCGAGTTAATCTTTTTCTAGGCATAAGTTGGGGTCTGTGTTGCTTAGTATATCTTCCCAGCTTATATCGGTTAGGAATTGGTTTACTTGGTCCCACTTTATGTTTTTGTTATTGAAGTTGAGTTTGGTGAATGCTCCCTCGTGACTAGTCTCATTATGTCGGTCTGGGGCTCCATGCATACATGTCTGAACCTCAATTATGTTGTGATCTGAGTATATTGTTTTTGATATGGTGACATTTCTTATCAGATCATCATTGTTAGTGAAGATGAGGTCTAGTGTATTCTCCAGTCTAGTAGGCTCTATTATTTGCTGGTTTAAATTGAATTTTGTGCAGAGATTTAAAAGCTCGTGTAAGTGTGAGTTTTCATCAGAGCTGCCTCCTGGTGTTATTACTGCAACAATATTATTTGCTATATTCCTCCATTTTAGGTGCCTTAAGTTGAAATCCCCCAGGAGCAAGATGTTGGGTGCAGGAGCTGGAAGATTTTCCAGACAGTGGTCAATTTTTAACAGCTGTTCCTGGAATTGCTGGGATGTTGCATCCGGAGGCTTGTAGACTACCACAATGACTAGGTTTTGGTTCTCGACCTTTATTGCTAAAACTTCCACTACATCATTTGAGGCATTAAGCAGTTCTGTGCAAACAAGTGACTCTGCAATGTACTTAATTGTTACTTAAGCTTAATTGTTTTCTGTTTACAATAATGTTTTACCACTGAATACATCATTGCTTATTAAGTTAATTTGAAGCCTGCCCATAATGCTCTGCATACAAGGGGCTTTGGCATGCTGCACTTAACTGTATTCTTTTGTACTTCTCTGTATCATGTTCAAATTAATAAATAAATAAATAAAAAATAAATAAGAAAATGTGTATATTAACATAATATACAACATTTAATGAGACTCGGTGATTATTATTATTATTATTACTAATATAGCATCACTCATACAAGTCGTCTGGCTACCACATCTCATATTTCTGTTTATTTATTCTACTGTGGGGTGTATTTATCATCTTTATATGTTATGTATCATACTTATTATATAATCTTGAAAAAAATATCATAGATGCATTAATGAAAATATGTATATTAATGTAATATACGACATTAATGAGACTCTATGATTATTATTATCATTACTAATATGGCGTCTCGAGACATAAGACACTCTTACTGATTTTAATATGTACCTGCATGTCAGCAGTGTGTGTAAGTTTATTTAGGTACAGGTATACATAAGTATAATTATCAGAGTATATATAAAATATGAAATAACTTTTGAAAACACTTAAAATTTTGGAGTTTCCAGACATAATGAAGAGACGTAGTGCTTACGGATCTAACATAGAATGTAAACAAACCGGGCACGGCACGGTGACCATATTAGAAAGTCAGGTTTGGGGAGCCGTATAGAGAGTTTTGGTCATAATTTGAACTGATCGTATTAGCGGAACGCTGCAAAGCGAAACGCCGTAAAGTGGGGCCCTACTATATATCCATTGTCCTTCTATAATTATATACATCCTGAAGCCTACCCATCAACCTTTTATCCACCAATACATAATCTAACAAACTACTTTCATTACGTGATATATCATACCTTGTATAGTTATTTATCCTCTTTTTCATTAAATATGTATTACTTATTACCAAACCTCTTTCTACACATAGCTCAATTAAAGGCTTCCCATTTTCATTTACCCCTGGTACCCCAAATTTACCTTCTACTCCCTCTACAACATTTTTACCCACTTTAGCATTGAGATCCCCAACCACAAGTACTCTCACACTTGGTTCAAAACTCCCCATGCACTCACTCAACATTTCCCAAAATCTCTCTCTCTCCTCTACACTTCTCTCTTCTCCAGGTGCATAAATACTTACTATAACCCACTTTTCACATCCAACCCTTATTTTACACCACATAATCCTTGAATTTATACATTTATATTCTCTTTTCCTACCATAACTTATCCTTCAACATTATTGCGGCTCCTTCTTTAGCTCTGACACTATTTGAAACCCCTGACCTAATCCCATTTATTTCTCCCCACTGAAACTCTCCTACCCCTTCAGCTTTGTTTCACTTAAAGCCAGGACATGCAGCTTCTTCTCATTCATAACATCCACAATCATCTTTTTTATTATTCGCATAACATCCATGCACATTTAAACATCCCACTTTGACAATTGTCTTCTTTTTCTTTTTAGTAAGCTACACGGGAAAAGGGGTTACTAGCCCATTGTTCCAGCATTTTAGTTGACTTTCACAACATGCATGGCTTACGGAGGAAGATATAATAATAATAATAATAATAATAATAATAATAATAATAATAATAATAATAACTCCTTCCTACCAAACAAAAGTCCAGAGGGTCACTTTATTATGTTAGTCTGGAAGGTCACTTAAACATGGTCAGTGTGGACGTTTTTTTTACCATAGATATTCAACATTGCCCCTGTATGCTAGACATAATCCAGATAGTTCCCTGCTACTTAAGTTGCTTGTGCCAGAGATATCCAAATTTTTGCATCATCCTTTATAGGCTTAGCACATTTTTGTCAGTTAAATAATAATTTAAGCCTAATCAATCTTGTCAACCTTTGCTGAGCAGCCTATTGTACTTGTATTATAGGTCTGTTTTGATTCTTCTCCAAGGATATGGATGACTAAGGGGTAAAATTTGTCTGACAGAAAAATATTGCTGGCAAACTTACAACACTTATCTCTATACAGTATATCTATCTCTTTCTCTCTTCTTTCTTTCCTCCTTCCATTCTCTATTCACTTTTGTCTTCCTCTCTTTTTCTCTATTTTCCTCACATTACCCTTAAGTAATCAAATGATCTCCAAATACAATATTTGACATTGCCAGTACATATTTATTACTTTTTTGTGCCTATTCATAGGTCATCTGAGCTGCCAACATGTATGTCTCAATACTCGAATCATTTAATTTCTCATTCTGATATGTGGCATCATTTGTTCTTAGATATTTTTGGCTCATATGTCAGCAACTATTTAATAATAGTAACTATTAATCAAGTAAACATTTTCTTAGTGTTAGTGATGTGTTAGCTTCCATGTAGCTATTTAATAATTAGTGAATTACCTTCAGTGTTCTGTCATAAGTGTAAATATGCTGTGCAGGAATAGCATAACACAAGACTTCTTCATCAGTGTTCACTATCTTAATGTGTGGGAGTAGCAGAACAAGGGACACCTAAATCAGAGATCATGTTTTTCCCATATTGGATGAATATTCTTGAGGATTAAGCAGTGGAAATTTTTGAAAAAGGAAGGAATTAGTTTTTTTTAAACACATAAAGTAACTGGTGAAGTACAGTGTATTGTTTAGTGGAATTATTACAGAGGGCTGCTTTGCAAGTACAATATTAAAATTAAATTTATGGAATGAAATAATTTTCTTTAAATATGCTATAATCAAGTGTTTTGATGATTATGATTATGGTCACTTACCATGTGTTAAGTATATTGTGGTTATTTATCATGTGTTAAGTATATTACAATATTTTGGTAGTGTAGTACTTCTGCTATAGCTGACTGGTTACTAAAGAATAAGATGTCACAATACCGTGGCTGGAACAATGCACAAATAACCCACACATCCCTTCTCACTTCTTTCTATGACTTGTTAATGGTCCAAATTGGACTGAAATGTTGTTGTACGTTTCAGTCTCTCAAGTGCAGGTTATCTGTGTAGTGACTGGTTACTATTTTAGAAATGTATGCCATGTCCTTGGTAGCTCTGTTGCAGTATTGCAATAGCTGTTGCTTAAGAGTTAAAGCCATTTTCACATTGTTAATTAACTAAAAATATATTTTTCTGTAATTTTATGATAACCAATATCTGAAGCTCAGTATTCCCACAGGTCCTGGAGAACCCAGGCCCAACGAAACCACAGAGACTGTCAGACAGCCCAGCTCGACGGAAGAGTGATGCCCCTACTCCTGAAGGGGAAACCCGCCGTTTGCTGTCCTCGTGTCCATCTACCCCACTCACCCTCATGCAACCAAGCCCAGTTAATGGCTCATTTAAATCTAATCCCATTACAAGTACCCCCATATCAAATGCTGTGGGTGGAAGTCGTCTGGCAACACCACCTCATAGACTGCTGTTAGAGACATCTTTTACCTGTTTACCCTCAGCCTCACCTGAACCTCCACCAGACCTTCGTCGTCATGCACACATCCATTCTCCTGCAATTACTTGGGAATTGTTATCAGCACTTGAAGAACAGTTACTTTTAGGTATTAGGGAAGCAGGAAGAGGATTGGTTGAGCGTGGGGAGGAAGATTGGGTGGCAGGTGTGGCACCCCTAGCTTCTCCAGAGACACTAAGTGAAGCCTCTAGTGTAGTGTCACGAGCATCATTGTTGTTGAGAGAGGGAAGAAGAGGTTCTGCTACAGTAGTGCCACTCCATCAATCTCCACTGCTCAATCACCGTCTACCTCCAGCTCGTCTTGGGGCTGGGTATTGCTTTTATGTAGAGACTCCTCCCATGGATTCCAGAAGACAGCTGTTACCTACTTCAGAGCAACTCCCAGAGTCTTCTGATGATGAAGAAATCCCACAGCGGCCAATCTCACCTTCTTCCTTCATCACCATTGAACCAATCATACCTACACCTCCCACACTCCGGAAAAGCAACGAATTACAAAGCTCAAATTTTCTAAATCCTGTACCTCTTGTTCTGAGTAATGAACAGCAGTCTATTCCAGACTTGGACCTTGAAGAAAATAAAGCTACTGGAACCGTCCAAAGTATTATGGAAACTACTCACAAGAAAAATGGAATCTTATCAAATGAAGAAACTAGACTTAGTAAAAAAAGTGAAAGTGCAGGAGAGTCACCTGATTCCCCTAGAAGTGGACCAAGTCGAGCATCATCATCTGGTTCCTCTCAAACTTCTCAGAAGGTAAAATTTGACATTACAGCTTCACAGATGTCTCGTGATTCAGGGTATGGTGAAAAACTGAATGGTTATGAAAATCTTGGTGTCACTGGAGTAGACTGGGGAATCACAAGTGGAGGGTGGGGAGGACATCAGCAGGAGTACGGCCGAGGGCAGTCTTCCCTTGTACATCACTATATGTACTCTGGAGTGTCACCACAACTTTCTCCTTCTTCCCTAGCAAACACAGATTCCTTCACCTCACCCCTTACTTCTGACCCACCCTCTTCACAAACCCCTTCTCTTCTTCCAACCCCGGTAGATATTCCACGAGTCACTACTTGCATATCAAGTCCTGCAACTGTATCTTCACAAAACCCTCACCCATTATACATAGCAACTCCACTTTTACATGACCTTAGTCAATCCCCTAAACCTGTCACTATAGTTGGGCGGTCACCTCGAAGAGCGGAAAGCAGTGTTTAGTACAGTTTTAAGAAATCAGTTATATATATGAAACATAGCATTGATAAGCATTCAGATGATTACCGTTCAGTACCTAGCCCCCAAAATGCAATTTTATGTTTGTTTCATACTTAATTTTATTTTTAAATCATTGTCAATCCTCTTTTATGTTCTGTATGCTAAAGACAATGCATACATGCATAGATATTTCATAAACATTTCATGTTCATATACCTTCATGTTTTTATTATATTTTTAATAAATGTAAAAGTTAATGAAGTGATATATTTTTTTGTGGAGAGAGAAACCATTTGAGGACAACCTTATATTGTAGTTAGTAGTGAAGAACACATGAACAAACAAACACACACACACACACACACACACACACACACACACACACACACACACACACACACACACACACACACACACAGAAGGAGAAGGAGAAGGTGGACAGAGACAGGATGTTCCAGAGAGGGGACACAGAAACAAGGGGCCACAATTGGAAGTTGAAGACCCAGATGAGTCAAAGAGATGTTAGGAAGTATTTCTTCAGTCACAGAGCAGTCAGGTAGTGGAATAGCCTAGCAATTGAGGTAGTGGAGGCAGGAACCATACACAGCTTTACGATGAAGTATGATAAAGCTCATGGAGCAGGGAGAGAGAGGACCTAGTAGCACTCAGTGAAAAGGCAGGACCAGGAGCTGAGTCTCGACTCCTGCAACCACAATTAGGTGAGTACACCTACAAACACACCTACACACACACTTACACACACACTTACACACACATCTACACACACATCTACACACACATCTACACACACATCTACACACACATCTACACACACATCTACACACACATCTACACACACATCTACACACCCATCTACATACACATCTACACACACATCTACACACACATCTACACACACATCTACACACACATCTACACACACCTACACACACACACACATCTACACACACATACCAACACACACACCTACACACCCGGCCAGTGAAAGTGACCTTCAAGGCAGAAGCGACCCGGACCAGGATCCTGCAGGAGAAAGCACGATTAAGGGACATGCCAGCATACAGGAAGGTGTATCTCGACCGTGACAGAACACAAGAAGAAAGGCAGAAACTGAGAGAGATGGTACAAAGGCGAAAGGAGGAAAGAGAGGGGATGGAGAAGACAGACAGGAGATCCCAGACTCAGGAAGAAGATCAAATACAGCCTCCCTCACAACTTCCTATAGAAGCCTCCTAACCAGGTCAACCCCAGTGCAACCAAACACTCTAAATCAAAACACCCATGCCACATCCAATGCCCCCACCCACTGCATTACAAACTCCACCCCCACAGCAACAACCCATAGTTCCTTACCAGGTCTCCCACTTCCCCAACCCCAATATACCTCCCTGACCACAGTCTTAGAAAAGAAGTTGAAGGTGTGGTATACAAATGCAGATGGAATAAACAAGTATGAGGAGTGGCACGAAAGAATCAAGGAGACATACCCAGACATAATAGCACTCACAGAAACAAAACTCACCAGAATAATAACAGATTCAATCTTTCCATCCGGATATCAAATCCTCAGGAAAGACAGAGGGAGGAGAGGGGGAGGAGGAGTTGCACTGCTCATTAAAAACCAGTGGGGTTTTGAGAAAATGGAAGGAATGGATGGCACGGGCGAAAGGGACTACTTAGTAGGAACAATCCAGTCTGAGGGACATAAGGTGATAATTGCAGTAATGTACAACCCACCACAGAACTGCAGGAGGCCAAGAGAAGAATACGATGAGAGCAACAGAGCAATGATCGACACACTAGCCGAGGTGGCCAGGAGAGCACACATGGGGGCAGCAAAGTTACTAGTTATGGGTGATTTCAATCACAAAGAGATTGACTGGGAAAACCTGGAGCCCCATGGGGGTCCCGAAACATGGAGAGCCAAGATGATGGATGTGGTACTGGAAAACCTCATGCATCAACATGTTAGAGACACTACCAGAGAGAGAGGAGAGGATGAACCAGCAAGGCTGGACCTTGTATTCACCTTGAGTAGTTCGGACATCGAGGGTATCATGTATGAAAGGCCCCTGGGAGCTAGTGATCATGTGGTTCTGTGCTTTGACTACATAGTTGAGCTCCAAGTGGAGAGAGTAGCAGGAATAGGCTGGGAAAAACCAAACTACAAAAGGGGAACTACTCAGGCATGAGGAACTTCCTTCAAGACATTCAGTGGGAGAGGGAACTGACAGGAAAACCAGTACAAGAAATGATGGACTATGTGGCAACAAAATGCAAGGAGGCAGAGGAGAGGTTTGTTCCCAAGGGAAACAGAAATAATGGGAAGAACAAAACAAGTCCTTGGTTCACCCAAAGGTGTAGGGAGGCAAAAACTAGGTGTACTAGAGAATGGAAAAGGTACAGAAGACAGAGAACTCAGGAAAATAAAGGAATCAGCCGAAGAGCCAGAAACGAATATGCACAGATAAGAAGGGAGGCTCAGAGACAATATGAAAATGACATAGCATCAAAAGTAAAGACTGACCCGAAGCTGTTGTACAGCCACATCAGGAGGAAAACAACAGTCAAGGACCAGGTAATCAGACTGAGGAAGGGTGATGGGGAATTCACAAGAAACGACCAAGAGGTATGTCAGGAGCTCAACACAAGATTTAAAGAGGTATTTACAGTGGAAACCAGTAGGACTCCAGGAAATCAGAACAGGGGGGCACACCAGCAAGTGCTGGATGAGGTACATATAACCAAGGAGGAGGTGAAGAAGCTGCTATGCGAACTTGACACCTCAAAGGCGGTGGGACCAGACAACATCTCTCCATGGGTCCTTAAAGAGGGAGCAGAGATATTGTGTGAGCCATTAACAAAGATCTTCAACACATCATTTGAAACTGGGCAACTCCCTGAGGTATGGAAAATGGCAAATGTAGTCCCAATTTTTAAAAAGGGAGACAGACATGAGGCACTAAACTACAGACCTGTATCACTAACGTGTATAGTATGCAAGGTCATGGAGAAGATCATCAGGAGGAGAGTGGTGGGGCACCTGGAAAGAAACAAGTGTATAATTGACAACCAGCACTGTTTCAGGGAAGGAAAATCCTGTGTCACAAACCTACTAGAGTTTTATGACAAGGTAACAGAAGTAAGACAAGAGAGAGAGGGATGGATCGACTGCATATTTTTGGACTGCAAGAAGGCCTTCGACACAGTTCCTCACAAGAGGTTACTGCAAAAGCTAGAGGATCAGGCACACATAACAGGAAAGGCACTGCAATGGATCAGAGAATATCTGACAGGGAGACAACAACGAGTCATGGTACACGACGAGGTGACAGAGTGGGCACCTGTGACAAGCGGGGTTCCACAGGGGTCAGTCCTAGGACCTGTGCTGTTCTTGGTATATGTGAACGACATAACGGAAGGGATAGACTCAGAAGTGTCCTTGTTTGCAGATGATGCAAAGTTAATGAGAAGAATCAAATCGGATGAGGATCAGGCAGGACTACAAAGAGACCTGGACAGGCTACAAGCCTGGTCCAGCAACTGGCTCCTTGAATTTAACCCTGCCACATGCAAAGTCATGAAGATTGGGGAAGGGCAAAGAAGACCGCAGACACAATATAGTTTAGATGGCCAAAGACTGCAAACCTCACTCAAGGAAAAAGATCTGGGGGTGAGTATAACACCGAGCATATCTCCTGAGGCGCACATCAATCAGATAACTGCTGCAGCATACGGGCGCCTGGCAAACCTACGGATAGCGTTCCGATACCTCAGTAAGGATTCGTTTAAGACTCTGTATACCATTTACGTCAGGCCCATACTGGAGTATGCAGCACCAGTTTGGAATCCACACCTAGTCAAGCACGTCAAGAAATTAGAGAAAGTGCAAAGGTTTGCAACAAGACTAGTCCCAGAGCTACGGGGATTGTCCTACGAAGAAAGGTTGAGGGAAATTGGCCTGACGACACTGGAGGACAGGAGGGTCAGGGGAGACATGATAACGACATATAAAATACTGCGCGGAATAGACAAGGTGGACAAAGATGGGATGTTCCAGAGAAGGGACACAGACACAAGAGGTCACAATTGGAAGTTGAAGACTCAGATGAATCAAAGGGATGTTAGGAAGTATTTCTTCAGTCATAGAGTAGTCAGGCCGTGGAATAGCCTAGAAAGTGACGTAGTGGAGGCGGGAACCATGCATAGTTTTAAGGCGAGGTATGATAGAGCTCATGGGGCAGGGAGAGAGAGGACCTAGTAGCAATCAGCGAAGGGGTGGGGCCAGGAGCTGTGACTCGACCCCTGCAACCACAAATAGGTGAGTATAAATAGGTGAGTACACACCTACACACACACACACACACACACACACACACACACACACACACACACACACACACACACACACACACACACACACACACACACACACACACACACACACACCTACACACACACCTACACACACACCTACACACACACCTACACACACACCTACACACACACCTACACACACACCTACACACACACCTACACACACACCTACACACACACACACACACCTACACACACACCTAACACACACCACACACCTACACACACACCTACCACACACACACACCTACACACACACACACCTACACACACACCTAACACACACACCTACACACACACCTACACACACACTACACACACCTACACACACACACACTACACACACACCTACACACACACCTACACACACACACCTACACAACACACTACACACACACACACCAACACACCTCACACACACACACACACACACACACTACAACACACACACACACACACACACACACACACACAACACAACACACACACACACAAACACAAACACACATACATACATACATACATACATACATACATATATACATATACATACATACATATATCTTAATAAGGAATCATTCAAGACCCTGTACATTGTGCACGTTAGGCCCACATTGGAGTATGCAGCACCAGTTTGGAACCCACTCCTACCCAAGTATGTAAGGAAACTAGAGAAAGTGCAAAGGTTTGCAAGAAGACTAGTCCCAGAGCTAAGGGGTATGTCCTACAAGGAGAGGTTAAGGGAAATCAACCTTACAACACTGGAAGACAGGAGAGATGAGGGGGATATGATAACGACGTATAATATACTGAGAGGAATCAACAAGGTGGACAGAGACAGGATGTTCCAGAGATGGGA